TCTGCTTCGTTCTCTATTCTTCCATGTTAGATTCCAGATATATATGTACACACTCGTATATATATAAACTTAGTCATGGCTCGGACGTATCATGTCATATATACTATATAACATATAAACCCTAAAAATGTTATTTATAATTTGTCTCAAAATTATTCACCTCGTTAATTAGTCTTTCATATGCTTCATATGTTCTTTTAATTTCAATTAACTTCTTCTTGTAAATCTGAGAAACTTTCTTGGTTATATAAAACAAAACAGATCACTTTTTCGTTTTTTTACCTTTCACTTTGAACTTTTCGTTAAAACTTAGAATCTAACATCACTTTATAAAAGTATTATATGATTTAGACTCAATTTGCAAATTAGACACTTTTATGAATAATAATTTAAAGAATTGACACTTGTTATAAATAATATGCAAAATAGACATTTTTCTCTTTTTTCCTCTAATAGAACTCTCTATTAGAGAAGATTATGTGTAATGACATAAATACCTTTTTTGTTGTTTTACACACATATTTTCTCTTTCTTTTTTATCTCTTTCTTCTTTTCACTTAAATTTTTTACTTTGTCTTATTAAAAATTCTTCATCAATTTTTTATGACAATAACATATTAATCTTTAATTTTTTTATGTGAATCTAAAAAATCCACATTTGCTATATTTTGCAAATATGTAACGTTTTATTTTATTTAATTTCAACTTGACGGTATACTTGTTAACGTTAAAAATGGTATATATACGGTAATGTACGAATATAATGTAAAAACCAATGTATGAGATTGATGTAAAAATTGGTATACACGGTATAACGGATATACAAGTGGTATACAACGATAATCTATAGTAGTGTATAACTACAAAGTACGATGGTGTACGAAGATGATGTAAAAAATGGTGTACATGGTATTGGGTCGCACTATACACCATCTCGTGTGCCGTCTACAACACCATACACTTTCACATATATTGTACACCACGTCCATAAAAGAGAGAACCATTTTCGTCGGTGTACTTAGTGGTCTATGAGATCGTGTACAAACATCAGTGTACAAGATGATGAGGTATAAGAGCGTTAGTGTACAAAACAATGTTTCAATGATAGGAGATTAGTATACAAAATGTACAAACCATGGTGTACCCTACAATATAATATACAAACCATCACTTCAATTTAATAGTGTACATCACACTTGTCCACCGTCCTGTTCAATTTAATGATGTACACCATCATATTAAGTATAACATCTGGTTTAAACCGTAAGTGTGGGTATACATGATCGTGTGGTGTACAAGTATTAGTGTACATAAAAGTATTAAAAATGATGGTGTACGAGATCGGTGTATGTGAAAGTGTACAAGCGTAAGTGTGAGTATAGTGTGGTGTACAAGTATTAGTGTACATAAAAGTATTTAAAATGATGGTGTACGAGATTGGTGTATGCGAAAGTGTACAAGCGTCAATATACAACGTCGTTGCACATGATGTTATACAAAATGAAGGATCCACTCAAAGTTTTATTTATTTTAAAAATGAATGATAAATCCGACTTTTAACAAATTTTTTGTCTTATTCCTATTAGAGCTATTTTGTCTTATCTTTTATTATAGTTATTTTGTCTTTATCTTTTATCTCACAAAAAGTAAAACTACCTATTCTTCAAATTATTTTTACAAGATGTGTATTTTTCAAATTACTTTCCAAAATGTGTCTATTTTGCCAACAAACCCTATAATTTATATACTGTCTTTTTTTCTTTCTTCTTTTTTTCTTTTTTTCTTATTCCCCTTATCATCCAGAAAATAGAATATAAGGGAATATATATACACTTTTGGGTAACTATATCAAGCAAATGTTAGAAGTGAAATCTTTTGGGCAAAAAGTGAGTTCGCTTATTAATAGCTACCTTTGAGCCTTCTACTTATCAATTCTACACTTTGGAAAGCTTATAGGTAAAAAAAAGTGTAGAATTTGATTTAAATGCCCTTAATACATTTGATTTAAGGAAATGACATTGTTTTTTTATTACCGTTCGATATCCTCAGCTTTGCGTGGTAATTTCAGCAAATAACATGGTATTTTCTCCTGAAAACACATTATTTAATCATAAAGCACGTTCTCGTACGCATTACTCATAATATATAACTAGGATATGACCCGCGGTACATAAAAAATACACCGCGGGTTAATTATTTGATTTTTTTATTTTTATAAATTGATGAATTTATTGTGTATAATATTTTTTGTTGTATACCGCGGGTAACATGCGTTGTATCTAAAATAAAAAATTTTAAGTTGTATTTGTTTTGTTTAGTGTTTAAGATTGAATAATTGTATTTTGATTTGTTATTTATAGGATTTCACCTGTGGTATATTTTCTCGTATTAATATTGACCCAAACCCGTCCAACCATATAATCTAAAATGAAATTAAACATCATTTTGTTACTTTTTTAATAACACTTTTATTTAAATGTCATATAATTCGAGTTAATTTGAAAGTTGCTTTCAAATAGTTTCCATGTATATTTTTAAATTAGTGTGTGTTTTTGGACCAACCCGTAAAAACAATTTATAATTGTATCTTAAAATACTAATTAGGATTTCACCCGTGATATACTGTCCTATTTTAGATAATTGTAAAAATTAAAGAAAGATCCGAATGACTCAATTTCGGGTCTGAATAAAATAAATTAAATGCTCAATTTGTTCTTAAAAATGTTAATATAGATTACACACATATTTTTATTCATCGATTGAGTAATATATGTCCGTTTTAAAAAATTTGAATTGTAACATATGCAGAAAAAAAAAACTAAAATTTACTAACTATTTATATATTTTATAATAATTTAAAATAATATAAATATAAGATCAAATAAAAGTGAAATAAGAATCATATATTTATGTTTAAATTAGGTAGAGAGGTTTTAGGAAATTAGTGCAAATTTGTTATATTAGTATTAAATCACTAGATTTGAACCCGCGGTACACCGCGGGGCTATAATTTTTTAAAAAAAAATCTAAATATAATTAGTTTTGTTTATTAATAGAGAATATAATATAATATTTCGACCTATTTTATAAATGTACCATCCATATATCTATATTAATAATTTTGAGTATATTAATTGTGTTTTAGGTTTAAATAGTATATCTATATATACACTTAAACGACATTTGACTTTCTTCTTCTTCTTGCCTCAGTTTAGGAGAAAGATTTTTCTTGCGGTACACCGCGGAACTATTATTTTTTTTAAAAAATATTTCTCCTTAAACTTCCAAATCTAGATTTTACCCCGCGGGTCAATTTTTTTATAACTAAAAAATTATTTTGCAAAATTTGAAGTTGTATTTGTTTTGTTAATATTGTTTATTTTGTTTAGTGTTTCTGATTTTATAATTAAATTTTGATTTTTAATTCTAGGATTTCATCCAAAGTATATTGTTTAATATTAATATTGATCTAAACCCGTTGCACCATATAACCCCGTTCCGTAAAATTAAACATCATTTGTTATTTTTTTTGAATAATATTTTTATACACTACGGGTTGCAGGTTCATGCGGATAAGCCCGTAGAGAGTTGCGGGTTTGCGGATCGATCCGCCAAAAGAGAAGCAATCTTTTGAAACCCTTTGTTTTGTTTAGAGGTTTTAAGAAAAAATCCCTAAAAAATAATTTTCATTATATGAAAAAAAAGTAGAAGAAATTGTAGTATCAACATTCCCGATTTTTACATCACTCGTTACAATTAATTTTTTTTTTGCAGATAAAAATCAGAAGTTAACTAAGTCGAGATTTTTAAAAAGATTGTGTAGAGATTTTTGGTAAATTGTTGAGAATATATTTGATTTCAGAATCTTTACTTAAATAGATAAAGAAAGATTTTGTAGAGACTTTTGCTAAATATATGAGAAATGAATTTCAATTAAAAATCTTTACTTAAATAAAACAAATCAAATCTTTGTCCAAAAAATAAAAATAAAACAAATCTAAATAATTAATGCTAGTGGCATGTCATTGTAAATACTTCTCAACTTCAGGATTTATTTGCTAATTGTGATCCAAAAATGTATATATAGATCATATTTGATTTCTTTATCTATAAAAATCGTGGAGAATATACCATAAATAAAGCGTTTAAATATAGTAATTAGTTGAGAAAATATATATATTTTAGATTTTATTAATTATTTTCGTTTTTTAATTTTGCCAAAATTCGAGGAAAGATCCGATTGAAGATTTCTAGGTCAAAATTAAATAAATTTGATCCGATTTGGGTACCCCAAAAACTGCTGCAAAAATGTATAATAGATTGTTAATCTTTAACAAAAACATGTGTACGGTGTGCCATTAACAAAAGTTGATATATACCAACTTTTCTCAAAACCCATAAATTTTAATCACGATTCACGAGGTAGATATAGTTTGATACTCGTATGCTGCTTGGAGATGCGACGCGTGGATTATACAACGGTCGATACAAAAAGATAAGACCATCAGCAACGGTCCGTCTCTCAATTTAGGTTTTTTATTTCCGTGTGAACACAATTATATGTGTGAACACAAATTATATTCATAATTTATTGAAAAATATTTTAACTAGACTAATTGTAAAAGGTCATGTGTAAGAAACGTTTCTTATTAGAGAAACGTCTCTATCACTCTCTCCTCCCTTTTTCATTTTTTATTTTATTTTAATAGTTAAGGATTCTACTAGATACGACCATTGCTGATGCTCTAACTAGTGCTACGAAATCAATACTATTCACATTTCAACTATTCAGATTCTTCTATTCGATTATCTGTGTTGAGGTGGTCAAAATTCTTTTGGTCGTCCCAAGCCATTTACTATTATAAACTCGAATTAAGCGTACATATATAATGTTCTTGAAATAACTTAGGTAAAGATGTGAACACGGATGGAAGTCTCCTGTTGTGCAGACAGCAGATGGTCCTTCCAACATGTGCAAATACACCATGTGAATGAATTTTCGTAACAAGGATTGAGAGAACATAGCCCCATAAACCCGAAAATCATAAATGAACGGAGAAAGATTAATACATAAACAACCTATATATCATTAATTACTAAGGCCTAATCAAATATCAAACTCTCTGTTTCTTGTACGTAATACCAAATTTGGAAAAAATGATAAAATAGAGCAGACAAAACAAGAGAGTCACCTAAAACTGAGATTGGCGACTTCATATCATCACATCACTATATTGAATGCTTGAGCGACTGTTTTGTCTGTTATGGCTTGAAACCCTTAGACATTATAAAAGACAAAGATCTCTCTTTCCTTAAACACCAAAAAACAAAATCATGGACAAGACTGATCAAACAGCTATTGACGGCTCAGCTTTAGAGCTTAACCGCACTGAGAAAACGGTAGAGGCGGTCTTGCGAGTAGCATCAATGGCTCTAAGTATTACGGGTCTCGTCATCATGATCAAGAACTCTATCTCCAACGACTTTGGCTCTCTTTCTTACTCAAATCTTGGAGCTTTCATGTTCATCTTCTTCTATCTTTCTTTCTCTTCTAGCTTCACTAGAGAGTAATCAATCAATGAACCTTTTCTTTTGTTTTTCCCTGATTTTAGGTATTTGGTGGGTGCTAATGGCGTTTGTGCTGCCTATTCTCTTCTTTCTGCTCTCGCAATATTAGCCCTTCCGTGTCCAATAAGCAAGGTCCAAGTCAGGACATTATTCTTGCTAGACCAGGTGGTCACATACGTGGTTCTAGCGGCTGGGGCTGTATCTGCAGAGACGGTTTACTTAGCATACTATGGAAACATACCCATCACTTGGAGCTCTGCTTGTGACTCCTATGGAATCTTCTGTCACAAGGCATTGATCTCGGTTGTGTTCACATTCGTTGTCTCCCTTCTCTACATGTTGCTCTCGCTTATCTCTTCCTATCGACTCTTCAGCAGATTTGAAGCACCCTAAGCCGCGAAACCGAAGAACACAAAGGCAACAAGAGTGACAGAGGCAGAAAGATATATGTCTTGTTTGGTTGAAGTGAAAGAGTACCTTGAATAAAAGAGTAACTGAATATTAAGGTTTTTCGCTAATTACAATTTTCTCTCTAGAATTGAATAATATGAATAAGAAGTTAAGAATACGCTTAAGAAAACACCTTCTTTATTAACTTTAGAACTAACTCAAACTAAAGTTCTTCTTAATCTCTCTCAATTCTCTTAAGCTATATCACAACCCGATATATGCTTATATAGTAAACCTCAAAACCCTAATCATAACTTGACTAGGATTACATTAAATCTTATAGATAACTCCTAAAAGATCTAGCCTTATCACATCATTAAACCGTTGCCTTGCGGTTCAAGCAATTGTCGGTTTACTTCTCAAGCTTAAACCAACAATCTCCCCCTTAAGCTTGAGCTCAAGCTTCTTCACGTCTTGAACACCAATGAGATTTCTCATCTCTTTAAACTTGTTTCTTCCCAAAGCCTTTGTCAATATGTCCGCCTTCTGTTTTTCACCCGGCACGTGCTCAACTTCAATTTGCTCATTTTCAACACATTCTCGTATAAAATGGTACTTCCGGTGAATGTGTTTGCTTCTTCCGTGAAACACCGGATTCTTGGTCAGTGCAATCGCTGACTTGTTGTCTACTCGTATGGTTACCTTTTCACACATTGTACCAATGATCTCGGCTAGCAATTCTTGAAGCCAAATCGCTTGCTTAGCTGCCTCTGTTGCCGCCATGAACTCTGCTTCACAAGAAGATAGTGCCACAACTTGTTGTTTTTGAGAGCACCACGTGATTGGACATTCATTAAGGTAAAACACATGTCCTGCGGTACTTTTCCCATCGTCGACGTCAACACTATGACTATTGTCGCTGTAACCAACTAGTCCCAACTCTGTTCCTTGTTTAAAACAGAGACCATGTTCAAGAGTGCCTCGGATATACCTCAGAATTTGTCTCAACGCAGTCCCGTGTGACTCTCTTGGCTCTTGTAAGTATCTGCTTAATATTCCAACACTAAAAGAGAGATCAGGTCGTGTATGTAGTAGGTACCTAAGGCACCCAATATTTCTTCTGTAATCTAGTTCATTGACCTGTTTTTCTTCTTGTGCCTTAGAAAGTTCTAAGCCCGCTGTCATTGGTGTTTGAATCGCATTACATTCACTCATTCCAGCCTCTTCCAAAATCTTCCTTGCATATCTTTCTTGTTTCAACACTATTCCACCTTCTCCTTGAAAAACTTCAATACCAAGATAGTAGGTAAGCTTACCCAAGTCACTCATTTCAAACTTTCCCGACATCTCTTTCTTGAAAGCATTTATCAAATCTAAGCTGGAGCCGGTGACTAACAGGTCATCAACATATACCGCTACAATGAGGAGAGTATCCTTCTCTTGTTTTCTGTAAAGGGAGGGTTCTTTAGAACATTTTTCAAAGTTCAAATCTCTCAAGATCTTGTTGAGTTTGGTGTTCCATGCCCTTGGTGCTTGTCTCAAGCCATAAAGAGCCTTGTGTAGTTTATAGACCTTTTCCTCTCTTCCTTTGGTAACAAAACCCTCTGGTTGAGTAACATAAACATCTTCTTTCAGTTCTCCGTGAAGGAAGGCGGTTTTCACGTCTAAATGGTGTATTTCCCACCCGTTCGAGGCTGCTAAGGCAATGATAAGACGGATTGATTCAATTCGAGCTACAGGGGCGAAGACTTCATCGAAATCAACTCCATGTTTTTGCACGTATCCTTTTGCTACTAATCTTGCCTTGTGTTTGTTTATGCTCCCATCTGAGTTACGTTTTAGTTTAAAAACCCACTTAAGACCAATGGGTTTACTTCCAACAGGGAGATCAACAAGACTCCAAGTTTTGTTCTTTGTTATAGACATGATCTCCTCTTCACACGCATTTCTCCACTCTTGCGATTTGTTTGCTTCTCTGAAATCACATGGTTCTTCATTCAACATTAGTAGAAGCTGTTCTCCTTCTATTTCTGCGAGTAATACATAGTCACTTAGATAGGTTGGCCTTGTAACTTGTCTCCCAGACCTTCTTAGCAACGGTGGAGGTTGTGGCTGCTCAGTTTCAGCATTGTCAGTCTCGGATTCGTCAGCTCCTTCTGCTTCCTCTCTGTCGGATCCGTTCTCAACATCTCTGTTTTCCTCTGTTTCTTGATTAGCTCCATTATCATCAATTCCATGATTACCAAACTCTCCAAAACTGAATATAAAAGTTCCTATTTCTTGACTAGTTTTCTCGGAGTCTTTCCACTTCCAACTTTTGCTTTCATCGAAGATGACGTCTCTGCTTACTGTGATTTTCCGAGTGGTTGGATCAAGTAGTCTGTATGCCTTTGACCCAGGTTCTGTCCTGAGATGTATGAGAACTCTCGATCTATCATCAAGTTTTCGTAAATGTGGTCCATCAACTTTGGCATAGCTAACGCATCCGAATACTCTCACATGCTCTAAGTTTGGCTTCTTGTTCTTGAATGCTTCATATGGAGTTTGGTAAACTAAGGCTCTAGTTCCTACTCGGTTTATTAGGTATGTTGAGTGCCTGACAGCTTCTCCCCATAAATAATTAGGCAAACTCATATGTTTCAGAATGCTTCTAGTCATCTCTAGCAAAGTCCTATTTCTTCTTTCAACCACTCCATTTTGTTGAGGGCTATATGGTGCGGTTAAATGCCTGTTGATCCCTTCTTTTTCACAAAAATCTTGAAATTCATGAGATAAAAATTCACCTCCTCTGTCTGTTCTCAATGTTTTGATTTTTTCACCACTCTCTTGCTCAACTCTTTTCTTGAAGTTCTTAAACTTCTCAAATGCTTCTCCTTTCTCTTGTAACAAAATTGACCACATGTAGCGAGAATGATCATCTATCAACACGAATACGTACCTCTTTCTAGCAGCTGTAGAGGGTGATATAGGACCGCAGAGATCACCATGCACCAACTCAAGAATGTGTGATGCCCGATACACAGTTGCTTTTGGAAACGTCCTCCTTGTTTGTTTTCCAAGTAAGCAAGATGGGCATGTTTCTTTTTCTTTTGGAGCAGTTGGTATTCCTTTAACCATCTCTTTTTCAACCATTGTTTTAAGTGTCTCAAGATTGATGTGTCCAAGACGAGCATGCCATATAGTTGAGTCACTTGATGTTACAAGCTGTAAGCAGTTAGTTTCTTCAACTTCTAAAATTACCTTGTACAATCGATTTCTTGATCTTGTTGCTTTTACTAGCAAATTTCCACCTCGGTCATGTAGAGTTAGATACTCTTCTTTCATCCGAATGTCACACCCTGACTCAGTGGCTTGTCCTAGGCTTATGATATTACTCTTGAGATCGGGTATGTAATACACATCTTCTAGGATTTTTCTTTCACCAGTTTTAGTCAAGAAGAGTATCGAGCCCTTTCCTTTTATGTCAATACACGAATCGTCTCCGAATCTTACTCTACCTGTGACCCTCTCATTCATCTTGTAAAACCAAGCACGTTGTCCTGTCATGTGATTGCTCGCCCCATTGTCAAGATACCAAGTTTTTTCAGAACACACTTCAAAGTTTTTAGGCATCACATTGTTCTCATTCAAGTATACTACTTCGTGCATCATAAGAGATTATGCGTCTTCAGTATCATCTTCCTCTTTCTCTTGTGTCTCTTGAAGCTTGATCAATTTTAAAAGCCTATCCGGACAATTAGAAGCATAATGCCCTGTTTTGTCACATCGGTAACAAGTCACTTTGGGCTTGTCTCTTTGAACAAACTCTTTCTGCTGATATCCATATTCTCTGGATTGGTAACCAAATCTGCCTCGGCCTCTTCCAAAACGACCGCGGCCTCTTCCTCTGCCTCCATCTTGTGACTCTGAGCTGACATACATGAGTTTGCTTTGATCTTCATGTGAGTCTTCTTCATCGCAAACTCTATCTTCGTATGTTTTGAGTCTTCCTACAATATCTTCGAAGGTTGTTTGCTTGAGATCAAGAACTTGCTCTAGGGCTGCGATTATATGGATGTATTTCTTTCTAGGTAAGCTCTTGAGAAACTTCTTAACAACCTTTGTTTCTTCAATATTTTCCCCTAAGGATGCTGCTTTTGTAGAAATCTCAGAGATTCTCCCTGCAAAGTCATCAATTGTGTCACTTTCTTTCATCTTCAGCCTATCAAACTCATTCATAAGAGTCTGTAATCTTGCTTCTTTCACTCGTTCAGCGCCAAGGTTTCTGGCTTTTATGCCATCCCAGACACCTTTTGCAGTTTCATGTTCTCCAACTTGTAGGATCATCGACTCTGGTATAGATTGGAACAATAGAGCACGGGCCATATCATTCTTCTTTACGTCGTTGGAACCGGGATCGATTGTTTCCCACACCTCATGGACTCGGAGGGCTGCCTTCATCCTCATGACCCAAACTGTATAGTTGGAAGTTGTTAACATCGGACATTTTATAGATGAAGATCCTCCCTCGTTTGGTTTGTTACTCGTTGTGGCCAATTCACTCATATCTCACACGTTTAGAAACAAAGCTAGATAGCTCTGATACCAAATCTAGAATTGAATAATATGAATAAGAAGTTAAGAATACGCTTAAGAAAACACCTTCTTTATTAACTTTAGAACTAACTCAAACTAAAGTTCTTCTTAATCTCTCTCAATTCTCTTAAGCTATATCACAACCCGATATATGCTTATATAGTAAACCTCAAAACCCTAATCATAACTCGACTAGGATTACATTAAATCTTATAGATAACTCCTAAAAGATCTAGCCTTATCACTTCATTAAACCGTTGCCTTGCGGTTCAAGCAATTGTCGGTTTACTTCTCAAGCTTAAACCAACATTCTCTTAAAAACATAAAATACACATTTTCTTTCAGAAACTAGATCATATTAAATTCGTTATTTTTCTCGAGATTCGAACTTGAAACATGGTTAAATATTTTTATCAATAGCTTAACATGATTAACTATGTTTTAAGATAGTCTTTTTGGATTTAATCGGTTGACCTATTGTCATCTTCAAGGTTTAATATTTTTCTATTGCAAGTCCTAATCTAATAAGACAAATGAGTGAAACTTTCTCCAACCATCTTAACAAACTTTGAAACAAAAAGCTTGAACGGGTTTTATTCCTCAACGAGCTTGGTTTTCTAATCACTATAACACTAAGTCACTAATCACAAAGCCCATTTATCAGATATGGGCTTAGATTGCCTGATAAGAGACTGGGCCGAGATTTACTTTGTCAACTACAAACGTCGGCTGTTTGACTTTCGGGAGAGTAATTGTAGATTGAAACGATGTGTTTGTGTCCCTTTGTTTGTTGGTGGGTTATGTTAATAATTCATAAGTAACGTTAATTATATTTTATAGCTACTAGTTAGATATTTATTTATATACTTAAATAATTTAAATTTAAAAGTGGGCATAATTCAATGTATTTGAAAACCCATATGTTATGTTGTTTTATTAAATAAAATGGTTGTAGGCTCCAAGGTGATGATTAGGACGTTCTGTTATATGTTTTGATCTGAATGAACGTTGGTACATGTGATATGACCATGTCAAACTTGTTGGATTAATCAGGTAGCTTGATTAGGACACACTAACTATAATTAATAATTGAAACAAATTTAATCATCGTATTATAAAAGAATTCAACTAAGATGCATTGCATTTGCACCTCAAAAGGGACTAACTATGGTTTACACACGCCAATGCATATTTTCTGGACGTTAACATGACTCCAATCCATTAATAGTATAGGCTAGAAAAGAAGAATTGTAGAAAAAAGCGTTAAAATATTGACAAATTAGGTCAAGGGTTTATGCAAGTTTCCTCAAAAAGTATGTATGTATAAGATCGATCGGATTGAAAACTATCACAGTATAAGTTTAAAATGTAAACTTTTAGTTACTATATAAAATATTTAATAAGTGACAAAAAGTTTATATATATTTACATTCTCATGGTAGGCACGGATTAGATTTATCTCAAGACTAAAGTGACTAATGTGATCTTATATAATATAACATGTTATAGACATCATATAGATGGTTTACAAATACAAAAAAAAAAAAAAAAAAAAAAAAAAAACGACATCATATAGATGAGAAGATTTTTCTCTTTCTGTTTGAAGTAGTTGTGGCAAAATGCAATTATTCATCACATGAAAGGTTAGCATTCTTTTGTCTTCAAATAATGGTTTCTCTTAATGATTATAAATACAGGTTGGATTCTTGCTCCACATCTATTATTATTATTATTTCTTAAAGTTCTTGTTTTTTTTTTTCAATTTGCAGTGTATCATTCATAGCAGGGCCGGCCCAGACCTAAAGCCCATCAAGCAGGTGCTTTAGGCATTAGATTATATTTTAGTTTTTAAGGGGCATAAAATTTTAGAAAAGATCTTGTAGTACAGTGGTTAATGTCTCATTTATTGCGGGAGTTGACGAGTTCGAGTGACATTAAGACGAATTTTTAACATTTTTTTGTATTTTTGTTGGTTAATGAGTAACAAAAAAATTTTGGGCTTTAGGCATCCGAATCCTTTGGGCCGGCCCTGATTCATAGCATTTGAATTTGAAGCAAATAAAAACAAGAAATCTTTAATGAGAGTTACTTCATTCGTGATATATTGAAATTAATTACATATTATACTGTTTAATCACAGTAGTACTATATTGTAAAGTGGGGCTGCTTGATTGGAAATTTAGAAATATGAAAGATAAGGATGTAGTAGTTATGTTATTATCACGTTACATAATCTGCCAAACCACGTGGTTAAGTAATAGAATCTCATTACTTGAAATGCAAATCGCTTAATGATATATATTGTCATTATTGTGTTCAATTAACGGTTAACACATATACTTAGGGAACGATCCTCGTGTTTTCCTTTTTTTTTCCTGAGATCTTGGGTTTAACAAGTTTATGTTTCACGATTTTGTTTTGCAACTTGCATCATGTAATTTATGTACCGGTCTGATCTGGTATAATTTCTGTAGACAGTAATTAAACGATTAAATAAAAGAGTATACTAATATAATATAAAATTGTCTCTCTTTTTTGGACACCTAATATGTAAAATTGTTCTTAATTGGGTATAAGCATATTCTTTGAACAAATTACACCTAAACCAATCATTAATCTATGTATACCCTTCTCTATACGGCTGGTTATGTCATCTATTAATCGCCAAATGTCACCTGCTAGCTTTCTTGTTTATAGATAGTAACTCCATGTATCAATTAACCTGATCAACGAGCAAACCACGAGCTAATAATTTGATACCTTCAATAATTGACTGAAAATATAACTGAATTTTTCTTTTTGATCAACCATAACTGATTTTTAAAAAGATGGGAGTATTATATAAAGAAAAAAGTGTTTTTCAATTTTAAAATAAAAATTTAGGTAGGAAATAAATGAAAAATAAATTATTGGAAGAATTATTAACCTAAATTAATTTAAAAGCCAGAGGCCCACAGATATGAGATTATAAAACTAGTTTAAAAGCGACAAAGATGGGTCCAATGTTTGCCACGTGGCAGACAAAGTAAGACTTTTGAGCGAACGTGGGTCCCGCAACGGTAAGAAGCCTTCGTAATGGCCCATCACATGGATCCATTTCCCATATTCTCTCTTCAACATGCGAATCCCTCTTAAATTTTTGACCCACACAAAAAAATTAAAGATAGTATTATTTTAGTTTTTTTTTTTTGTCGACTAGTATTATTTTAGTTTTAATACTACTAAATACAAGTTATTAAAATTTTGTATTGTTTTGTGAGAATAATAGAAAATACTTTTCGTAAGCAAATTGTTGCTGTTTAACAAAAAATACTGAAATAATTTATAAAGAAAGATACATTGTTTAAAATCCTCCAATATCATAAGTTGTCATTAACATACAACTTTTAAAATATAATTTAATTCCCAAACACGTTAAGAATCAAATGCCCATGCATCATTGATGCATTCGTAATCTCTTTCTTTTAGCATCAAAATTTGATAGATGAAAATCATGAGATAGTTTGTATATGTTGGAATACGTTGCGAATTAATAATTCTTACTTTTTTTGGTTATAGGTTATGTAATATAGAGTAGTTATATGGTCCTCAAAAGTGGTATTCCTGCCATACAAGCCTATTTTTTCTAGTGCTAGAAGCTTCGCCAGAAGCAAGAGCCACTAATAGTCTAAAATGAAAGTACTAATAAAAGCAAACTATAGTAGTAGTGTAGTAGTACCATTTAGCAATAATGTATATATAATTACTCCTTAAACGTGTCGAGTGAGTACACGTAAGTGTGATGAAGCTAACTTTGAGGAAAGTTACAGCCGACAAGCTGCTACTGCCTCATTAATGTACGCAATTAATTTCACTGACCTTGTGTTTCTTCACATCCAATTTTTATTTTATTTATGTAATCTTCATCTTTCTTACCCACCTAGTATTAAAAACATAAACAAACCAATTGAAATTTTTCGTAAAAAAGATTTTCCCGTCAAGTTTATTTTCATTCCTCTTTAAGGCTCTCTAACTAGGAATTGTATGATACAATTTTATGCGTAATTATTATCGAGCTATTGTTAATTGTAACTGTTTAATTTTTCTTAAAATATGTACAATCGTCGGTGTTTGATAAAATAAACATGTGCTTGCACACCCAAGATTAGTGATAGTTTTAGACTTTCACACATGATTAATACTAATTGTTTAATCCTTAAATCACATAAAAATAAATAAGCCGTTAAGGTCAAACATATCATCACTTTCCCTTGTCATTTCCCAACTTCCCGAAACCCCCAAACATAAACCCCAAACATAAACTTTTCATTTAATCAAATAACTAATTAACTAATTAAACACCCTTTAATTTCTTCTCTCAAGTCTCCCCACTATCTTCTTTATAAATAACTCACAACTCTCTGCCTTTTAAATGCAAAAAAAAAAAGTGAATCAAGAAAAAAAAAATGGAACAAGAAGATTTCTATTTCCCTGACACCGATCTTGATCTCAGCTTCACATCCACCACCACCGACCGTACATTTGCCTCCTCGAGCGCTCGCACAAGTCTAACATTAAGCTTCAACGACAGACTCTCCACTTCCTCCGCCGTAACAACCTCCTCCACATCCTCTTCCACCGTCAACCACCGTCGTCACGATCCTCACTGGTCAGCAATCAAATCAGCAAAACTTCTCTCCTCCGATGGAAACATCCACCTCCGTCACCTGAAACTTATACGCCACCTCGGCACAGGAAACCTAGGCCGAGTCTTCCTCTGCAACCTCCGTGACTCCTCCGCAAGATTCGCCCTAAAGGTCATCGACCGTAACTGTCTCACGACGGAGAAGAAGCTCTCTCAGGTCGAGACGGAGGCAGAGATCCTCTCCTTGCTAGACCACCCTTTCCTCCCTACGCTCTACGCTCGTATAGACGAGTCTCACTACACGTGTCTCCTCATTGATTATGCACCAAACGGAGACTTACATTCCTTGTTACGCAAGCAACCTGGTAACCGTTTACCGATTCAGCCGGTTAGATTCTTCGCCGCCGAAGTTCTCGTCGCATTAGAGTACCTTCACGCAATGGGAATCGTATACCGCGATCTTAAACCTGAAAACGTTTTGCTTCGTGAAGACGGTCACGTCATGTTGTCGGATTTTGATCTTTGTTTTAAATCCGACGTTGTCCCTACCTTTAAATCTCGTCGGTACCGGAGAACTTCTTCGTCTCCGTCGCTTCGTAGGAGAAGGAGCGGTTGCTTCTCCGTTGCTGCGGAGAAAAAGTACGAGAGAGAGGAGATCGTTTCGGAGTTTGCGGCAGAGCCTGTGACGGCGTTTTCAAGGTCTTGCGTCGGAACACATGAGTACCTTGCACCGGAGCTAGTCGCCGGCAACGGACACGGAAGCGGAGTAGACTGGTGGGCGTTTGGAATATTCCTTTACGAGTTGTTGTACGGAACGACGCCGTTTAAGGGAGAGAGTAAAGAGCAAACCCTGCGCAATATAGTATCGACCACTAAGTCCGCGAGTTTCCACGTGGACGTTGATTCAGAGGAAGCTAGGGATTTGATTGAGAAGCTTTTGGTTAAGGACCCGAGGAAAAGGCTAGGATGCGCCAGGGGTGCGCAAGATATCAAACGTCATCCGTTTTTCGATGGAATCAAGTGGCCGTTGATTAGGCATTATAAGCCACCGGAAGAAGTTAGAGGTCTTGTGATAAAGAAGTCAACGAGATCACATGCTGGTCACGTGATTGCCGTTTCACCAAGACGGAGGAAGTCATTTTTGTGGAGGGCGTTGTCATATTTACTGCGCGGTAAAAACTCTAGTGGTGGGAGTAAAAATCAGAGCAATAGTAATTACTATCATTATGTGGGCAAAAGCTACGCGAGTCGCAAACGCGTTTAAGGCTGTCTCACGCTTTCTTTTTCTTATACGATTTTAGGGTTAAAACAACAACAAAATATAGAGGGCGTGTATATGATGTGTGTTAGAGTATGTATACGGTATATAGGATATATTCAACGATTTTGTATATGGAAGTTATACGAGTATTGATCTATTTCGTCTATAATATTAGCAAAGGAATGCAAACTCAGTGAATGCACTTGTATAGATATCTCAAACCAGAACACCAGTGATAGAAAAAGACTGATTAACATGTTATATAGTCTCTATAGCTCCAATCCAAAATTTGTTAGTCAAAAAAAAAAAAAAAAAAATTACTAGTCCGGATAAAACTCCTTTTTTTTCCCCCCCAAACATACGAATTGAATTTCTACTGCAAAAAACATTCAGGTGAAAATGAAACGTAACAGTAAGATATTAGTTACTTTGGCCCAATTTGTTTCGATGTTTGTTTGAATCTTAGCGGTGGCGAGTTCTATATGTCCTTATAAATTTCAGGAATTTCCAAGTCTAGTTTTCACATAACAAAACTCGGAAATAATTGAGGAAAAAAAAAAAAAAACTCCGTAATAAAGATGTGTCCTAAGACCCATTGTATATTCAAAATGGATTGGTGTTAAATATTGGGCCCTGACCATTAGGGCTATCGAGTTATAAAAAAATCAAATTAAAAGAAAAAAAAAAAGCATATTTGCAAGTTTGCAACTCAACATAAATGAATTTTTAAAACTATAACTACTTTTTATATATAGTTATTATGTAGAAACCAATACGCTCTCTTATACACGATTCCTTATAAATTTCAGAATTTCTATATTAGTTACTTTGGCCCAATTTGTTTCGATGTTTGTAATACTGTAATACACTCTCTCATTCTTATACACGATTCCTTATAAATTTCAGGAATTTCCAAGTCTAGTTTTCACATAACAAAACTCGGAAATAATTGAGGAAAAAAAAAAAAAAACTCCGTAATAAAGATGTGTCCTAAGACCCATTGTATATTCAAAATGGATTGGTGTTAAATATTGGGCCCTGACCATTAGGGCGATTCATTCTCCATGGTCCATGCAATTGCATGATATTCTTCAGTAGTTTATTGGAACATGGACGTATTAATAAGAAACATGATAATCAATTTTTTGATACTGGTTGGGCCTAGAAGCCTTAGAAAATCTTAGACCGACAATAGTATTATATGTTTTTATCAGTGTGTATATTTTAATATGTACGAAACAATGCGACTGGTGAGGATATCAATGTGATCCAAATCTGTTGTGATCCGGAATTTGATACACGAAGTGATGCAGAACTGATTACAAAAATGAGGAAGAAATCAAAAGGGATGATTTTGTTCTAGCAGCTGTAAAACCGCAACGAATGAATGATAGAGAAACGGAAACAATCACAATCTCTCTTTCAGATTTTTGTTTTCGTAACTTAATTATGACAATGGTTAAGGTTAAAGATAATGTATTTAAACCCAATCTGATATGGTTGGTCCGACCACAATCTAGAAAATATATTTTATAAGTTCATATTACTTTGTGATACCGGTTTATTTGTAAAATTTTTGGTTATTGCGAATATGAAAGTTGAGATTATATAATAAGATCAGCAAACCAAACAAACCTACTCAAGTGGAGAAACCGAAGATAAGATTGCCGGTTCCATGTTCCCCTAAACCCAATCTCAATGCTTTGTCTTCTTTCAACATCTCTCCTCTTTTTAAGCCCACCTTTCTCCCTTTTCTACTCTATCTTCTTTTCTTTGAGTTAAAAAATTGTGTTGTAGCCTATTAAATAATGTTCTTAGGTTACTCATTTCCTTTTAAGGGTTAAAAACAAATAATATGGATCAACAGCTATGTTTACCGCGTTTCTTACATTTAAATAAAGGTAAACAAAATAAGACTAATTTATCTATTTATAAGATGAATATAGTTTTCATAAGAGCGCGAATATAACATATTTTTTTCCATATACAACAACACTATTCAAATTCGGATCTAATACTATCGAGTAGAACAATATACAGTTACAAACCAAATGATGTAAGATAATAGATTATCTTTGTGAGCCCATAATATAGACAATGATATAATAAAATATTAATGTCCAAAGTTATGATTTCATGAAAGTATAGATCCTTGGGGAACCCAAAACCAACCAGCCATGCATATCCCAATGTCAATGCACCTAAAAAATCAAGACCATGTTCATCTCCTCTTATTTTACTTCCTTATTATTTACGACACCTCTTCTTCTTTTTCTTTTCTATATATATACTCTTCAAATCCTTTTTCTCCATCATCACAAATCTTCTTCCTTCACCCACAAAAGGTTTTTTTTTTTGGGAGGCACCCAAATTTTCAACTTTTGATCACTAAAACATAATAGAAACCCTAATTTTCGACCCCATGGCAGGATTAAAGAGAAAGTTTAACAAAGGTCATGCCTTTACAAGCAAATGTGTTTCCTTGGTGAAGGAACAACGAGCTCGACTCTACATTCTCCGCCGTTGTGCCACCATGCTTTGCTGCTGGTACATCCATGGCGATGAGTAGAGAGAACCCTTTGACTTCTCCTTCATATTAACCTCTACATATTAGTATATCTGTATATAGATCTTCTCCTTCCCATGTTTCTTCTTCTTGAAGCTCCATTGATGTTGGTGGCTCGTGGCTGCTTGGTTGCATGGCTTGAACCCTCTCCAAGAACGTTTGATACTCTCTCTTCATTTGGTGTAATAACCCCATGCAAAATCTTGTTACGTTTTTTAACCAAAAGAATTCATCTTTTAGGTTTTTGTTTTCATCGGTTATTTTACATCAATCAGAAGATACAGATTTTATCCGCCGATTGAGCTGGCGGAGTTTGGATGAAGTTATTATGTAAGAAAACGAGTTTGAAATCTTTGGATTTAGTTTCATTTTGACCAAAGAAGTCTCTTTTGGTTATGTAAGATCTTGTTTGATTGTTGCCTCTAGTTGTAATAATAATGCGACGACAAACTAATAAAACTTTAATTTTGGCAAAATTAGGTTCTTTTATTGGCTCAAACTGAAACTAAACAAACCAAAACTCATCTTATTATACTTTAAGAACCAACGTCTTAACCGGGTTCCGGCTCAGTTAAGATTTATTCCAAGAACCTACAATAGTTCCGTTTCAAAAAAACAGAGCACTCCTCAAAGAGAGGACATTTGAAGTTCATTATCGGGTCCAAGCCTAACCGAGTTCACGTAATCAGTCATGCAATGATCCGACAGACCAGGAATCACCAGCCCCATGAGCCTAAACAAGATCCTAAACCATCCTTCTTTGTAATCCGGTCCATGAGTGTACCCCATCGTCAAGCCTCTAACCAACTCCCAAACTGCAATAACATGCCCAAGAATCTCGTAACGCAGACCGTAAGGGTTCGGGTCCGGCTCATCCTCTGCTTTCTGTCAAGTATTCAAGAAATCGATTATCAGTTAAATCAATTTCACATTTTTAAATCTAAAATCCTTAAATGTTGTTTTAAGTGATGATAGGCATTACTGTTTCGTTGTAGAAACTGTCATAGAAAAGACAGAGCCCAAAATGTTTGTAGAGGAACGTTTTGTCGTCGTAGGGCAATCTTGGGACAAGATCGTTGCAGTAAACAACTCGGAAGTATCGGTCTACGGGTTGATTCAGTTGAGCTTTCATGAATAACCCGACATCTCTGTTCCCGATTCTTGGTTGTCCAAACGTGTAAACTCCAAGCAGCCTCTTCATTATCTCTGTTTCCTCTTTCAACACCAGCAATGTGGGAAACAGTATCGCTAAAGCACCTCCTAAGCTGTGACCAGTGACAACAAACTGAGCGTTTTCGTGTTCCGAAAGCAAACGTTTCAGAATGACTCGAACTGCATAATAGGCGCTTCTCTCTACCATATCTAGGAGATTCTTTTTACTATTCTCTTCCTCAGAAGAGGTTTGCTCGAAGAGATTGTAATGGAAAGTGGGAGTGTCGTCTCTGTTGCCTAAACCCATGGCTTCAAGGAATCCCATGTGAAGCTTTCCCACATTGGGGATTTCGTACCACGAATAGTCGAAATCTGTTCCCCAATCATCAGCATCAAACGGTTCAGTGCCTCTGAAGCTGATTACTATCAAGTTTGCATCTTTCTGCTTATCCGTAAATATAAAAACTTGTGTAGACATCTGCTTCTGATAATCTGCAAAGATAGACAAAAACAACACATCCATATATAAACTAAAAACTGTCTAATTAAGCAATGCTATAAGGCTAAATCTTGCTAGCTAAATCTCACCATTCCAACAATCCAAGAACTCCACCAAATTCATCTGCAGACCATTAAAAGATGAAAACTTTATAAAGTTGGAAACTTTTTTCTCATGAAATGTGCTTAAAGTTTTTGACTTAGTAAAACTTGCCTTCCAATGAAGATCAACAACGTTTTCAACAACCTTGGCGTTCTCATACGCAAGCTTCGACGCCATCACACACAAATCCATAAGCCCACGACTTCCCAATTCGATTTCAACCTTTCCAGAAGAACCCGAATTGACCGAGTCAATGCCCTCCAAGTGTTCGACAAAATTCCATTCCTTAAACAGACTAATTCTCCCATCAAGCTGCCCAAGTGTACTAACAAACGTCACAGAGCCTCTTTCTGGAATCACAACTTTCGCTACAACACAATTTCATTGTACATTAAAAAATCAACCAAACTCATTAAAAAAAAACGCTTTTTTTGATTCAAAGTTTCTAACTTTACTTACCTTGAATCAACCGGAGAAGCAAACCGAAGAATCCACCATTCGCAGAGAACAGATTAAGGAAGAAGTCAACGACGAAACCTGTCAATTCCATTGGCGTTCGGAGAAGTCTGATGATCTTACGAACCAGAATCGAAACCACAATTACCCAACGGTGATCGTCTGCTTCCTCATCAATCATCATCGTACTCCATTCGCGGTTATCAGGCCTCTCCAAGAACTTTGCCTTGCTCGTTTGGTCATCTCTCACACCGTACCAGAACAAGTCTCTGTACCCACCTCGGTGCGGTCGAACAATCAAGTAGTTCGAACCCTGACCCGGATTCGAACCCGAACCCGATTCGTTGTCTTTGTGCATGTCTCTGGTTTTTCTCTCTTCTCTGTTTTTTTTTCTATTCAATGGAGACTAGCTTATACCATAGATATATGTATGTATATGCATGCATATATAGCTCTGGTTTTTTTTAGAATTTAATTTGTTGCAGAGAGGAGACTCAGCATCTGCAGAATTCAACAAAATTGAAGCAATAGTATTCGCCGGGGTTCACAGTTCCTAATAGTGGGTTGAGCAACACAGAGGCAAAGAGGCCCGAATCGCTCCCTTTACCTGGAATATGAACCCTTGCTTGTAAACATTTCGACTTCAAGAATGATTTCTTGGATCCTCTTCGGTCTTTTCTTTCTTTTTTTTTTTTGCAGAAAAACTTTGGTCATTGTTCATTTTTTTTTATTAGGGGACTGCAGATTCTGATTTTTATTGAGCTTGTAACTTGTAATTTTTACTTTTTATTTTAAAATTATTAATTGTTAATGAGAAAACCAAAATATTTTTGTCAATACTCAATATATATTGACGCTAAAATTGTTATGAGGTTTTTAGCTGGCTAAAATAACTAGTTTTAGAAAGTTGCACTAGTCATTTGGACGAAAAGAAAGAAAAAAAAATTCAAAAACTTACTGCTGTTGTGAATTGTGTCTTTCATTAATAGAATAAGGGATATATATACAAGGATAATAGCAGGATACAGAGAATAAGGTAAAACCCTAATGGGCCATGGGCCGGTTATGGAGTCCATCCATATGGTTTATAACACTCCCCCTTGGAAGACATAACCGTGCCCGATACTAAACCGGGATCTCTATAATGCGTTGGGGAATGTTGCCTCATTAAAACCTTACCAGGAAAACCCAGTGGGACAAAACCATGGTGAAGGAAAAAGAGTACAACACGCATTACTCCCCCTGATTTGAGCATCACTGTCGATCTTTAAGTCCGCGCATCCCGATCTGATGAATGAGCTTCCGGAACGTTGAAGTCGGCAATGATTTGGTGAATAGGTCGGCTGAATTCTCACTTGACCGGATCTGTTGAACTTTGACCTGACCGTCCTTCTGTAATTCATGAGTGAAGAAGAACTTGGGCAGAATATGCTTCGTTCGATCCCTCTTAGTGTAGCCATCCTTGAGTTGAGCAATACAGGATGCGTTGTCTTCAAATATGATGGTCTTTGATGTAGTAGTAGATGCGCCTTAAGGAAGGCTGCCTACGTACCAGTGGAAGGGATCAAGCCACACGTAGTTCCTATTCATTGACCATGCCATAATCTGATCGAACGAAGAACCTGCATCAGCAAATCAAACTAAACCAAAGCAAACTGGCCCTTCTTTGGTTAGATCAGTATAGAACAAAACCCAAGTAAACAACGCAGGAAGAATAGACTTTAAAACTTAGCCAAACCTTCCTTTAACCCTTTCCAGTGCCTTTGGGTTGATCATGAACTAAATTTAGACAGGAGACTCACGGCAAAACAAATGTTTGGTCTAGTGTGTCTAGCCAAATTCATTAGAACTCCTATGGCACTGAGGTTTGGCATTTCTGGACTGAATAGATCACTATCCAATCTGAGGCTTCTCACCACCATTGGGCCTGGTCAATGGGCGGGCCTGGTCCTTATTAAATCTCCTTGAGTACTCTTTCAGTGTATGCCATTTGATGCACAAGAATTCCATTATTCACATACTCAGGTTGTAACCCCAAACAGAACTTAATTATTGCCTAGGTCTTTCATTTCAGATTCTTTCTTTAGATATACTCAACTGTTTGGTCGATTACCCAGAGGTTTAAATCATTCATATACACTGCTATGATTACAAATCCTTTGTTTGCAAACCTCTTGATAAAAATACATGGACTGATCGGATCGTTTTTATAGCTTTCTCTGATGAGATATTCGCTTAACCGGTTATACCACATACGTCCGCTTTGTTTCAGTCCATATAAGGATTTGTCCAGCCTTATGCAGTGCTGTTCTCGAGAATCTTTCTTATCTTTGAGCTCAATACCCTCTGGTAATCTCATATATTATCCAGTGGACATATATAAATATGCAGGCATTACATCCATTAGCCGCAAATCTTTCTCTTTTATATAGCCAGACTTAGCAAAGATTTAAATGTCTTAGCATCCACCACAGGGGAGTATATCTCCTCTATTTCTGGTCTTTGTGTGAATCCTTGTGCGACAAGCCGTGTCTGATATATCACGCTTTCACTATGTTTATTTCACATAATCACAAAGACTCATTTGTCCCACTGGCTTTACATTGAATGGTGTCCTTCGTATTGGACCAAACACATTCTTCTTCTTGATAATTATTAGCTCCACGTTTTATGGTCTTGTACCATTTTAATCAATCAGGTCTTTGAGTGCACTCTAGTATAGACGTGGGCTCCTAATCCTCATTCATTTCAGTTGCTACCTTGTGCGCAAATATTTTATCATTGATGTCGATATCTTTTCGGTTCCATTGTATTCTAGACATGATATAGTTTATAGAGATCTCTTTATACTTTCAGGACCTTGAGGTTTGGCGTCCCAAACCTCATTGATTGGTACCTTAGGGTTATGTCTATTAGCCGGCCATGTCTATGGTTTCTTGAACCTTCTCGGTTCCCCTTGCACCTTTCTTTGATTTCCGAGGGTTCTTATCTTTGGAACCTTTTGGGTCTACCACGTTTCTTACGTGTTGTAGCCTCTGTAGCAACTTGATTGTGTTCCTTGTGAACATCAATACGTACTGGTGCATTACAAGCTGGTATGTACGATTTTGTTACTCTCTTTGGGTCATTATAGGAATCTTGGCAACTGTTTTATTTAGA